AGGGGTCGGGGGTCAGGGGGCAGGGCCGGGGCCCCTGCCAGTCGGCTCTGGGCCACCCGACCCTCTCCTCCCCCCGCAGCACAGCCCAGTGTGAAGCCTGAGACACATCCCTGCGTCTCCCGCCTGCCTGCCGCCCAGAACATGTGCCCGCAACCATGTGCCCTGACCGGGAATCGCCCGTGACCTCCCGGTTCATAGGTCGACGCTCAACCCCTGAGCCCCGCCCGCCGGGTGAACCCACTTAATCTCCACCACACCCCAAGCGGGGTGCCTGTCCGCCCCATGGGGCTGATTGGCAGCGACCTGCCCAAGGCCCCGGAGCGGGCGGGGCCCGTCCAGGCTCAGGTGGAGCAGGCACGCTCCAGGGCCCACCCCCTCCCCCTCAGCTCGGCTTCAGCAGCTGGTCACATGACATGCTCACCACCGAACCCCGCATGGGGAGTCTGGGGGCTCCCAGGAGGGGCCCCTGCTTGATAGAGATGGGGTTCTTACTGGGATGGGGCCCTGTGGCTTAGCGGGGAGGATTTGGGGGGTCAGAGATGGGAGGAGCTCTGGCAGAAAGAATGACCTGACCCAGCCCTCGCTGGTGTGGTTCAGTGGATAGAGCGTCGGCCTGCAGACCGAAGGGTCCCGGGTTCGATTCCTGGCAAGGGCACCTGCCTGGGTTGCGGGCTCGTTCCCTGGTGGGGGGCGTGCAGGAGGCAGCCAATCCATGACTCTCTCTCTCATTGTGTTTCTGTCTCTCCCTCTCCCTTCCTCTCCGAAATCAATAAAAATAAAAAGAGTCGGGCACCAGGGCTTCTGGCTGAATTCAACGCAGCCCCTCCCACCAGCACCTCCTGTCCTGTCCTCCAGAAGCTGTCAGCAGGCTCTCTCCCACGTGCCAACCAGCCCTGCCCCTGCCGACGCCCTCAGGGACAGCCTGCCTTCTGCCCTCTCCTCCACCAGGCCTGACAGCCTCTGAGCACGCCCTGTGCCCTGGCAGGGAGGCTGGGCCGGGTTAGGGCTCCTGACGGCAGGGGAGGGGCTGTGCCGGCCTCAGGGGCTGGGCTGGCAGCACCAGCGCTGGTTTGTGACACAGAACTTTCCCATCCCACGATGGGCAGGCCTGGGCCCATCCGCTGGGGTGGCCCGTGCTGGGTACCCTGGGGACATGGCCTCCTGTCTCCTGGGTGTGGGGCTCTCAGCTCAGACTCCCCTCAGGGCCCTCCTCTCTCCTCGGGGAGAGCCAGGAGTTCCTAAGGCCCGCACACCAGTCTCTCCTGTCCATCATCCGTGTGTCCATCCCCCATCCCAGGGCCTCGGTGGGCTCCCTGAGGGGCAGGGGCACGCAGGGAGGCGCAGACTGCAGGGAGTGCAGGAGGGTAGGTGGCTCGGACGCATCCCTCCCATCCCCCCCACCCCCAGGGCAGCGGGAGGTCTGGCTCGGCCCCCCTGTGACCCCCCGTAGGCAGGCGGACACATCCAGCTTCCCAAGGGCACCCTGCTGGGGGCCTGGCTTCCGCTTCCCACGTTTTTCTCAAAGATTCACTAAAAACGTCCAAGCCCAGAGGCCGGGCTCCCACTCAAACCGGCATCAGGAGGGGAAACCAAGGCTGGAGAGTGGATGGGGCCCAGTGCCTGGCCTCAAACCCCCGCCTGCCTGGCTGGCGTGGCTCAGGGGCTGAGCGTCGACCTGTGAACCAGGAGGTCACGGTGCGATTCCCGGTCAGGGCACAGGCCCGGGCTGTGGGCTCCATCCCCAGTGGGGGGCGTGCAGGAGGCAGCCGGTCCGTGACTCTCTCTCATCGTGGATGTTTCTACCTCTCTGTCCCTCTCCCTTCCTCTCTGAGATCAATAAAGTTTACAAAATAAGATAAAATAACCCAGTCCAGCTCCTAAGGACCCTGGGGGGCTTACCTGAGGCCCGGGGGCACCCGGAGACCAGGAAAGCCTGGGTTCCTCCGGGC